CGCTCAAAAAACTGCTTGATTGCTTTTTTCGGGATGCTTTGACAATCATTTTGGTCCAAAAACCAGCTTTCTAGCGCTTCTAGGAGCCGAGATATGGCTTCTTGAAGTTTGGGAGGTCAGAGACACAGTGTGTCTCGTCGTCTGCGTCTCTAGCTTCCTAAACTTGAAAACTCTGTATTGCTGTATAATCTCACAGCAGTCGACGATACACATTTCGATTGATGCGCAATCGCTGTTTCTAGCACATTTTCGGGTGCAAACATCATCGGATGGCTTTCCGGAGAGGGAATCCGGGAAATGACGACGATTTCCGATCATTCCATGGGATTCTTGGGATTGAATGGAAGAGATGGAGAGGAGAACGAGGAGGAAGATCTGGAAAAGTTTTCAAGGTTCTAGAAGGTTCTAGAAGAATACCAACTCACCAAAAAGAATTTCATTGTTTCCAGAAATTTCCACTTGAAGTCAGAAATGTGGGGTGCCTGTCCTCTCGTCGATTTCCCATTTTATAGATATTCAGCTCATCGAATTACTATATTCTTTTTGTCTTGGGAAAGGAGGAGATGGGAAATTTCAGAAAACTTGAGAAACGCATTTTGTCCAAATTTTGAATTGTAAAAGATTGGGAGATCAAAACGGAACCAGAATGATTTTCCAGGAATTTCTGAATTCAATCATAGAAATTCATTATTTCGGTGGTTCCCTAAAAATATGAACAAATACAATCATTTTGATTTTAGATCCAGTTTTCTAGCGCTTCTAGGAGACGAGATACAGCTCTTCAACGTTTTTGAGAGACGCAGACAGTTAGAGTGCCTCGTTGTCTGCGTCCCTAGCTTCCTAAACTTCAAAGTGCTATATCTCAGCTTCCCGGTGGCCTAGAAACTTCATTCTTCGTCCATTTTCAAAAACAAGGCCACCAAAACATTTCCTAGGTCATCTAGACATTTTCCCAGGAGCTCTTCCCGCCTTCACATCACCTACATCCTGTAAATGTTTATTGTCTTTACCTAGTCATATATAATTACCGTATATCGATTCCCAGGTGGACTCATATCCCACCTGGACCCATTTGGATATGTACTATTCGGTAGATTTGGATTCATTCATTCTGTTTTTACTCATTCCGACTAGTTGTCTGTTCTTCTCTTCTCTCTTCTTATTTTTTCTTTGATTGATTGATTTTTCTAGAATTTTCAGCATAAAATGGCACCACAAACTCAACCATCATCATCTTCTTCTCGTCAATTCACGAATCAAATTCGCAGTCTTCATTCTATCATTCTACAGCGGCATTCATCGAGAAAAGCCGCGTTTTCTGGAAGGTAAATTTTACGAATTTAGAATTTCGGAAATTTCGAAATTCCTGGAAAATATGATTTTTTGGGATTTCGCACACATTTCTGTCAAATTTTGAGCTTTCTAGCTCATCTGGGAGCTGAGATATCGTCGTTTGAGGTTTTGGAGGTGAGAGACGCAGACGACGAGACACACTGCTTCTCTAACCCCGAAACTTTAAACGCCCGTATCTTGGTTCCTAGAAGAGCTAGAAAACTGGTTTTTGGACCAAAATGGAGGATTTTATTTGTATGTTTAGAAATACTAAAACTCAAAAAATCTAAAGTTTCCATTTTCAGCGTCCCATCTTCTCAAAAATCCCCTGAAAATCGTCAAGAATCAACAATGGAAAAAGTGTATCGATACACTCGTGATTTGGCACTTTCAAGAGACAAAAAAGTGGTGAAAAGGGCATTCGAACGACTTCTCCAATTGGATTGCTCATCTCAAATATTCAAAAATGCGAAAACTTTGAAAACTGCAATCAAATATCCAGGATCAACGCCATGTTTCAATCGGGAAATTCATTTATTGAAGTTGAAAATCGAGAAATTGGAGAAGAGAGATCAACAGCTGAATGCAATGGAATACGATCCATTTAATCCTGCTGGAATGAGCAATTTCAATGGACAAGAGATGGACAAATTGATGGCCAAATTTCCAATTTACATTCCAACAAAAAATCAATAAATCCAGTGAGCAGGAGGAGGAAGAGTATGATCCATTTTTTGCAATTTTCGAGATCCCAAATGATTCGAGGAAGATGGAAATTCTCGATTTATTTGCTATTTATACACCAACACCAATTTAAGAATATATTCCAAGTATTATGGTTTTTCTCTAAATCTCTCATTCTCCTGTACTAGTTTTTCTTGACTAATATACAGTAATTTTGAATTAATAAATAATAATAATATATACACAACGTTGCTTTTTTGAAAACAAAATCCAATATTTCCTTCACATCCAAAATTCCAAAATTTCAAATATTTCTGAAAATACTGATAAAATTCTCCATTTGAGTTCAAAAATCAACTTTCTAGGACAACTAAAAACCGAGTTATAAGCATTCAAACTTTTGAAGAGACGCAGACAGTTGGAGTGTCTCGTCGTCTGCGTCTCTTGCCTTCAAAACTTCAAATCGATGTATCTCGGCTCTCAGAAGGCCTAGAAAGTTCAAAATTCGACAGAGATGTGTGTGAAATACAGGGATTTCATGTTTCTGTTCTTTTCTTTCGAGTTATCAGTTTTCTCAAATTTCCAATTTACATTCCAACTCAAATCGGCCAAAAAATCAATAAATCCAGTGAGCAGGAGGAGGAAGAATATGATCCATTTTTTGCAATTTTTGAAATTCCAAATGATTCGAGGAAGATGGAAATTCTCGATTTATTTGCCATTTATACACCAACACCAATTTGAGAACCTTTTTCAAAAATTATTAATTTTTTGTACTTTTCTCTAAATCTCTCCATCTCTGATCTGATCTCTTGATCTCTGAAAACCCCTAAAATCTATTTAAAAAATTTCTGAACTCATCCTTTTCTTGTTTGTATCTCTCACTCTCTCACTCTCATGTGCTATTTTTTGTCTAATATACAGTAACCCCATAAATAAATAATAATAACATAAAACATTTTTTTGTGATGCCGGCACTTCATCGTCCCGGCCCGGCCCGTGATTTTTCAACTACGGTAAAATCCACTATTTCGGTTCAAAAATTAACTTTCTAGCCCTCCTAGAACCCGAGATACAGTACTGGCCAAAAAGGTATTCGCAAATAGTTTTTCGAGCATAACTTTTCTGAAACTTCCCGATCAATCTGATATTTTAAGACAAAGTTTAAAACGGTAAAATAAACTGATTCAACAACAAGAATAGTCAAAATTTCAAAAAATTGAAAAAAAAATCGAAAAATTCATGAAAATTGCAAAAAACCGGTAAATGGAATTGACTTCTGAGATCTAGGATAGACCGGTAAACGAAAAATAATAATAGAAAATGAATAAAATAGCTTTAGTACTTCGTTGGGAAGCCTTTGGCGTCGATTACCGTTTGACATCTTCTTGGCATCGAGTCGAGAAGGGTGTCGATGACAGACATCGGGATGGCCTGCCAGACATCTTGGAGTTGGTCGAACTTCTGGTTGGCATTCGAGGCACGAACCCCTCTAAGCTGTCTCTCGACATGCTCCCAGAGGTGTTCGATCGGATTCAAGTCCGGAGATTGACTTGGCCAGTCCAGAAGATCCACGTGGCGGCGTCGGAACCACTCCTTGATGTGCTTCGAGGTGTGCTTCGGGTCGTTATCCTGTTGGAAAACGAACGCCCGGCCCACAGTAGACCTTGCCCAGGGTCTCATTGTGTTCTCCAAGATGTCTTCATACACAAAGCGATCCATGATGCTTGTAATTCTTCTCAGCGGGCCGATTGAAGTCCCAGAGAAGCAGCCCCAGACCATCACCGATCCACCTCCATGCTTGACGGTTTGGAGCTGGTAGCTGGGATCGAACCGACATCCAACCGGACGGCGAATCCACTTGATACCGTCAGTACCGAACAGATTGAACTTGGATTCGTCGCTGAACACGTGATTAGCCCAATCCTGACGTCCCCAGTGGAGATGAGCTCTGGCCCATGCTACGCGGGCGATTCTGTTCTTCTTGCTGATCGATGGTTTCTTAGCTGGCCGTCGTCCATGGAGTCCAGCATCTTGAAGACGTCTTCTGACGGTTCTCAGGGATGGTGTGACTTCATTTGGAGTCTTCACGACCATCTGAATGTCCGTAGAACTCCTCTGGGGATCCTCTCTTGAAACTCGGACGATGTTCCGATCCATGTTCTTCGACGTGATACGCGGTCTTCCAGGCGATTTTCGCTCCACCAAGGCTCCCTAAACATTTTTTTCCATAACTATACTATTTTTGAATATTACCTCATCCCGAAACTGCTTCAAGATCTTCTCGATGGCACGTTTAGTAACATTGAACTGCTGCGCCAAGAGGTCCTTGGAACATCCACTTCTGAAGCCGATGACGATGGCTTTACGGATGTCCTGAGAGATGTTTTTTTTTTCCGAGGGGTCTGGCCATGTCTGTAAACAGTTTTAAATACATAGGAGCCAAAACCAACATTCTTAGAAACCATAATATCCAAAAATATAAAAATATGAAAAAACGAAAAAATTGAAAAAATTGAAAAAAACAAAAAATTTCTGAAAATGATGCAATTTCCTTGTACGCAATTTGTCGTCACCGTGTACGACATGCACAGTAAAATTTTCAGATCGATCCCTTAAGTTTCAGCAAAGTTACTCTCAAAAAACCGTTTGCGAATACCTTTTTGGCCAGTACTGTATAACGCTTTGAAGTTTAGAAGGCGAGAGACGCTGACAACGACACTCTCTCTAACTGTCTGCGTCTCTTCAAACTTTAAAAGCCTATATCTCGGCTCTCAGAAGGCTCAGAAAGTTCAAAATTAGTCGGAAATGTGTGAGAAATTCAAGGGATTTCATTATTTTGCTTTTTTAAGAGAATTCTTTCTCCTAAAAATTTCAAAAATCCCAAAAAAAAGCTTAATTTTCGTCCAATTCCAACTTCTCCGTCTCTCACTCTTTTATGTTCGAAAATATCTTCCTGTACTGTTTCTTTTCATGTTTTAACATGATTACAGTAATCCCATCAATAAACAATTAGAAAAATACGAAAAAATCGGTTTATTTTCAATAATTTTTGTCAAAAATCGAGTTTAAGAATGCGGCCTCGACTTCTTCGCCTTTTTTGCTCTCGCTGGTGATTTCTGAAACAAAAATATTAAAAAAAAAATCCCAAAATTAACAAAAAAGAGTTTCGTGGCGAAACCCATTTGACAAAATTTGCCTATGTGCCTTTAAAATTACTGTAGAAATCCCGCGAAGTTTTTATCCGTTTTTTTCCATTATTTTTTGCATCATTTCCACTCATTCTTCGGTCAATTTTTATCGTTTTTTTTCTGATTTTTTGCTAGAATTTCAGCAAAATGCATTTTTTAAAGCATTCAGCTTGTTTTTCACCTAAAAATAGTTGAAAAACAGTGAAAAATTCGAAAATCTCGATTTTTATGGTTTTTTTCCTTTTTTTCGGTGTAATTTCCAGTTTTCATAGCTAAATTATAGTCTAAAAAAAAACAAAAATCGCTCGATTTTCCAAGATTTTCAGCCAGAACTCGGCTTTTTTCCATTTTTCCTGAGAATTGCTCACCACAAACGACGCATCGATGTTTCCCCATTCCGACGGCGTCTCCTCGACAGTCTCATTGTCGTTGCACTCGCGAGTCTTCATTTTTGGCTCGGCTGTAAATTTGAAAGAAAAATTTTTTTTTCCAGAATTTTCTATTAAAATTCTCTTACTCGGCTTCGGCATCGACACATTGATCTTCTTCTCCTTGACCGGCTTCGTCGATCGATCCGAATCGCGTGATCGTGGCGGCGGTCGACGCGGCTGTTTGATAATGACCGCCGGTGGTGGCCGCGGCCGCGGTCGGGGTGGCGGTGGATCATCCTGAAAGGGAAAAAGGGGTTTACATCGATTTTTCCGTGGTTTTGAGCTTAAAAATCGGTTTCGGAGGCAGTGGTCTGGAATCGAATTTGGCTAAGAAAGCCCTAAAATTGGGCTAGGAAGTCTGAAAATTGACTCAAAATGCGTGGAAATGAGCCTTTAAAGTCTAAAAATCGGCTCTAATAAGTCGAAATTCGAATCAAAATTCCCGAAATTGGTCCAGAAAGTCTAAAACGGCTACCAGATTCCATTTCTAGGCTTTCCGGGCCAAATCTGTTTATCCGGATGTCCGCAAACACTCACAAAACAGCCAACGATAAGAAAGACGGCTAGGTTGAGTAACAGAAACAGATGAACAATCATTTCGCTTATTTTCTATTGGATTAATACTTTTTTCCGCTGTTCGACAGCATTTTTGAGATGGATTCCAATTTTTTGGGATTCTGGGAAACTGTGTGGAGGTCATTCTTGTGTCTGGAAAAGGGGCGGAGTCGAGGGGAGTAGAATTTTCACGTTTAACTGATTTTTTTAAATAGGAATCTGAATGGAAAACGTGAAATTTCAGGTCAGAAATGCTAGAGATCCTAGATCCTGGAGATCCTAGATCCTAGAGATCCT